CAGTAACAAATCGATCTTGAAGATGCTGTCGCACAATCTGACGATCCTGTCGCCGGGTAGTGACCACTACGTGGTCGGTCATCTGTATTGTTGGTGGTCTGGTACCGTTGCTGGAGCCTGAATATGGTCTTTACGTGGACTTGAAATGCATTGGCTACCTGCCGGGTGGTTTGTCCAGCTTACAATCGTCCAAGGGCTTGGTGTTTCTGATTTCTGATCAATCTTGGCATGTGGTAAGAATTCAAAAACGAATGAATGTTATCCGATCTGGATTGATTTTTATATAGCAAGAAATGGGGGAATGCATGTGCATTTCAATTTGCATTGAACTCACGTGCATCAGGTTACTATGGCCGTTGCCGTGATGCGTTTGGGCGATCGGTTTGATTGTCACCTGCTTGGTTTTTTTATCATCAAATTTCATTTTTCCCGGACAAGGTAATGTTAAATTTTAGAAACTTTAACGAAAATTTCCCAGATATTCAAATGACAACTTTTCATGCAATGTTACTTGGGGTGACGTTTCTTTTGCGGTTCAGTATATAATATTTAATTGAAAACCGTGAAAAAAGAAGCGTTAATTCTGTTTTGGGCCCATGAAGTCGTATTTGTTTTGTCAGGCACTGTACATTTACTTTGAACCTTGTGTTTTCGCTTTGAAGTCTGGACAGTTACATGAACAACGCATATATAATTTTTAAGATTCAATCATTCTGACACCTTAGCAGTGTATAGTGAACATCGACATCGAATTCAGTTTATAGCGACGACATTGTATGGTATATTTTAGTATTGTTTAAATTAGCTTTAAAGTAAAAAAACACTCCAAGTTTGACAGTCTTGAAATATGGTTCGTTCTTTTCTTCGCGGATTCAAAATTTGCTCATTATGGACTATAATTCCGACTGGCTTGGCTTGTGTTCGGCGCTATTCACGCCCGCTGAGCGAATCGAAACCTATCGGAGGTTCGAAGAATGAGAAGCCGTTCATCAAGACTATATACTGGTAGTTTGACTTTGTGTCGCACCTATCCCTTTTTTACAAGGTCTTCTAGATAATCGTTTTCTTTCTTATAGAGGCCTCGGTATGGACACGTATGACTTCTGTAATGGTATTTTGTCAGTGAGTTGAATGTCCACTTTCAAATCAGTTATTTTCCCAATATCATCATCTGTCTTACTAAAGACATCAAACTTTTGATACAACATTTTCTTAATCATTTTCGGCTGTTCAACACATTAATCATCACTTAAGTCTTTTGGGGGAAGACAGTGTTCTTGTGTGCTTGTGGTGTCTGAAACCTTGTCAGCTATATTCTGGTCAGGATCTGGCCTTGTAAGATCTCACTTGCTACAGTGTACCAATACATGTCCTGCTGTGAACTGTAATCTTATGACGAGTACAGTTCATTTTATGTTACTGGAATATTTGTTTCGGTGCCTCTCTTTGACCTTAGAAGAGATTCTTGAATCTTTAGTCCATTGGGCCAAGGTTCCTTGGTTTGGTTGTAACAAGAAAGTGGTGGGTTCACTTACATTGGTCGCGACCATGCACTTCTCTCGTAACACACGACCAGCTTTGACACATACTACTTGTCACCCGCTGTGAATTTCACATTTTGCATCGGGTCGTTCCTCTTGCAACAGTTTGCTGGCATTGCAGTTGCATGACTGAAGGGATATTGCTCAATCACAATTAAAACCTATGATTGGGGTAGTGATGCTCGACACCCTGTCACTAAATGTGGAACAGACAAATTCCGATCAAAGGTTCCCGTTATCATTGAGACGATACTTCGACCCATCCTTCAAAAGGTATTTTCTCAACATTGACAAACTTGACCCAATCTCCAATTCTTGTCTGTTCTGTCTGAACAATTTCAAGGGTAGAATAATGCCTCAGTTCTCAAACCCTTATAGACACAAAGTGTTCTACACTGTTTACCGACAAGACGAACTGGTTTGTCCTTTTGTTTTTGAGTTAAATCAGTGTTGTTTCCTAAACTCAGATTCTTAATTGAAAGTGCTTCCATATGGCAAAACATACAGGCTTGTGCACATCCCAGTGAACAGCTTGACAACTGTAGGAGCAATATAAAGTAGAGTGACATATTGAACAAAGATCAAGATGTTGATCTTGAGCATCCCCTCCAAACTGAACACATGTGGGCATACTGTCTAAAGTCAGTGACTGCCCGACGTTGCTGACACGTTTCCGTTTCCCGAATCTGATTTCCCGGTTCTGTTACGTCTTTGCCTACAACATGGCTGTAAGTGTTCTGATGAACTATATCAGAAACAATGATCGCGAGACAAATATTCATTTCCTTTGCACTTAATGCATAGACGAGTTTGAGAATTAGTGCGAGTACTTCTTTGTGCCTGCTGTTGTTTCAAGGAGGCATACTTAGACTGCAGGTTCTTAGCCGTTCAATTGTTTCATCCTTTGATTCTTCATACACTACATACCTAGCATCAGCAACACGTAGTGCGTTTCCTTTTTCGTTCCTTCTTGGCAGACACAGCAGCGCCAACCTGACCAGATGATCTCATGATCCAGAGTATTAGATGACAGAGTACTCTTCAATTTTTGTGCAATGACGGTGTCCATGAAGCCAGTGAGTAAACCAGGTTCTGCTCATACCTAAAATCAGATCCATCCTCTTTGCATGAGAAATTTATCTTCTGATTCAGGTCAAGTATTCTCCAAACAAGATCTAAAGTTTCGTCTTTTTGCCCAAGGTCCTGATAAATTTCTGTCGCAGAATTTTCCTCAAAGAATGTTTGGAGATGTTTACGGAGAACAGATATACTAAGATCATCCTTTCCTTCAATGTCGTACTTTTCTTCTCCAGCCTCAATCTGTCTTATCAAGTTGATGATGCCTAATTCTTCCTTCATGACAGGACTAAGAATCTTGAACTCCTTACGATCCATTACCCTCACAACTGTCGGCGGTGATGTTGTCTAGGTCTTTTATTCATGAAAGAAACCTCCTTGTTTTTCAGCCACAGCAGCTGGTAATAGCTGCATCTCTGTTTCACCTTGCTTGGATCATTCCGACTTTCTACCATAACATAACCAGGTCTAAATGATGACTTGTTAACTGAGTTGATGTAGATGGCTTACCCCGTCTGACGGAAGGCGTTTGTATTTCATGAAGGACTGGGTGCAATTCTGTATCAGACAAAGGAAAAGTAGCCGTTTTGTATATATGGATCACGATCACGCCTCCTGCAGAAAAGCATTACCATGCGTTTCAGGGAAGTTTGAGGTTCTTGCTCTTAAATGGGCAAGAACACTACGGTTTAGATGTTTCAAGGACCGAGTAGAAGATATATTGACAATAGCGCTTGGAGTTTATTCAGCAGACCTGTGAGAACAGCAGTACTTTATCCCTTTAACTGACGTAGTCAAAGCTCATATTTTACTTCTCCTTGCAGCCATTATGCAACGGCCATCTTATACACAACCCCTTGCTTACGTATACTGGCCTCTTCCTGTGGTATGGCAAATAATAGTACCCACCATCTAAGATATATCCTCCATGATATAACCTACGCTCAATGAATAAATGCTGCTGCATCACGAGACAAAGAGACCCAACCAACATAAAATAAACAGGGTCCAATAGAAAACACTGCTCTGTCAAGTCTCATAAATATAATCACTGGAAGTCGTACTAAAGACATTTAATGTCAAATTATACAAACTTTTCAATGACAATCACATTTTCCAGGATCATATATTCTCTTAACACCATCGCAAAATATCATGTAGAAGCCAGTGCCTGTAGAAATAAGATTGATCTGATTGGACACAAGGATACTCATAATTTAGTACAAAATCACATCTTACAAGGACACATCAGCAAGTACATATCATAAAATGTGTTGCAAAATTTTTTGTCAGGATATCAAAAATTGCTCTCCTGTTACTACCTCCAATTCCAGCTTAACGTGGGCCCTCTTTTTGTCAAAAGTTTGCTATTTCTGACATGAGTGTGCCACGTGTTGCGCTTCCTGGGAGAAGTCCCATTCACTGTCTGGGATGCGTGTAAAGAGGACAAGGGCCCTGAGCTGATGATGAGCCTAACCAGCCTGACTGTGCCAGGATCACCCAAACCCTCTTTGCTGCATTTTTTATTTTAATCTGTAAATAATAATAAAAATAAATGTTCACGAAAATGTACCCTGCTTCACCGGTGGCACCCGTCACAAACACATACAAAGGCAAGTCAAGTGTTCACCTGAAAAACACGTCCTCCACATTTCTACCATAAAACATTTTGAAAACTTTACTGAGGCCTTGAATGTTGTAACCTTGATCAAACAACTTATGTGCAAGTGTCGTATAACGTTCTGTGAAATCTTGGGAAAAAGAGCATGCTCGATTGTATCTTAAAAGTTGTGAAATGTAAATTCCAAAGACTGGATTTGCTGGAATATTGCTCGACATGAAGGGAAAATTGACCATTGGAAAGTTATCCGGTCTTGTGGAGAGTGTTTTGTCACTCTGAATCTTTTTTGCATACATCTAAATATGAAACAAATGAGGCGGTCTCACTGGTCTCCTTTATTTCTAGTTTAGATGGGTAAATCAGTGGAAGGTGATTGGCCATTTGATTGTTATTGAACGATATCAGATCATCAATACACCTGAAGCCCACACTGTTTGGCTTCTTAAACTTCAGAAATTCCGATTCATATGCATGAAGAAACAGAGCCACGGAGAAGGATCCTTTTATTGGTCGTAAAAGGCAAAATAGCGGCGACAAATATGTGAATGGATCACTGAAAATCAGTGATGACATGAGGTGTTCGCGAAAAGGTCAAGCATGTCCTGCTTACCTTCAGCTCCCGTCACCAATGAACTTTAACAACTTAAAATTTATGGGTCTAACGTAAATCCGCGAAACGTCATTATTACAGGTACAATGTAGTTGTTTGCATGTGCACATTTAGGGATTCCCGTTTGAAGTCATGAAAAACTCATCCGTTTATATTTCTGTTACAGGACAGTGACGTTCTTAGTTTACGACACCGAGTCCAGGAATTGGCTTAAAGATAGGTTCATTTCAGAGTATTGTTTCACAGAAGTAGGACATTGTTAGAATCTTCAACTTTGCCTTCTTTCGTCTCGGACTTAGATTCAAGTGGAATCAGCTCAGCATGAACAGGAGATGCATCTGCAATGTCGTACACGTCCCTGAAAGCAACGAATCTGGAGCTTCACAAATCTCAAATATGGTCTTAGTGGATACAGGTTCCTTTATTGAATATACTTGTATCACTTTAGGACAATATCAATATAATATTACCATCGATGTTACACTTTAACATACACATCACGTTCCACTATGACATTCAGAATAGAAATGTTTATTGAATGATGGTATGATGATCAGATTGTATCAGTGACATTGTGTATATAAATATGATTAGGTTCGACTTTAACCTCGAGGTTTTACACTATTTCATTCAATCCAGTTGAATAACAGATTTACCAGAAAAAAAGAACATTCACGAGATTGAAACCGGAATTTGATTGAAATTAAACTCAAACTGGGCTGAAAGTGAAGTGAAACTGAAATGGACTGATATTGAAATGAAACTCGAGCCTCATACCTGGGAATGTGCCTACTAGTGACCTTATACTTAGACTGAAGTGATAGTTATATACAGTACCGTCGTGGTTGCACATTGAAATGCAAAGATAAGCATGTTTCTATATAAAGGTGCCAGTGACACCTTGCAGCTGAATGTATGGGACGTAATAAGGTAGTGTTGTGTTTTGCAATTTATATCAGTGGCATAGAGGGGGGTGCACATATGATTGCTTGCAGGGATCGACTCCAAAGTCAAGGTTTCAAAATATTTGTCCGGATGAATGATAAAAGTATTTTTAATGAAATAAACCATACACGAGACTAAGACGAATGTTGGACTGAAATCGAACTAACTGTGGTCCCTACTTTTTCGAGAAGTGTACTGAAACGTGACTGAAACTGATCGGTAATTGGACTGAATACGCAATAAAATTAGGCTTAAAACGAAATGAGTCATAGTCATGATACTGAAAGTGGCTGGAAATGTGAGTGAGTCGTTTGGGACAGATATGGAGGATAGGCGGGAATTAAACAGCTATAGACTTCCCACACCTTGAATTGAATCAGCTACTGGGCGTAAACCAATCACATGGATAAATTCATGCTGGGACTGATGTGATAGTTATTAATACTACATGCACTTACGTCCCGAGCATCTCAGCTTCTTTGATGGTTTCCGGTAGCTTCTTGTTCAGCGTTTCCGGGAGAAGCAGAGCCAGAAAGGCCGCCAAGATGGCGATACCCCCGAATACCAGCATGGGCAGAATCTGTCCGAAACGTCCTGATATATACATCGTCTGAAATGTTAGGGTTATTTGTGAGTGTTCTATTTCAAATGATGACCGACATGTATGAAATCATAAGGTATTCATAAAGTTAAGAACGATGCCCCAGTATCACATTGTTAATCGTCTGCAATTCATTTGACAGTTAAACAGGTCCCCAAGTTGATTCCCAGTTTTCTCAGTTAACACTAAACATATAAAACCTGCAATCACAAAGATTTGGTAAAACTTACCAAGCCAACAATGTAGGGAGAAAGTAGACTTCCAACTCTACAACAGACGGAACTTAATGCCATGCCAAATGTTCTTGATGTGGTTGGCATGAGTTCAGCTGTGAAGGTGAAGACGGCACACATGGCAGCAGAGGCACACATGTTCCCTACAATGGCGAGGATGTTAATGGCCCATTTCTCCGCTGGTGGGGTAAATCAATGGAGATGTATTAGCTTTATGACCAATATTGAAACATATCAGATCACGTTCAGCATTTCAAGTATTTGTTTTAATGGTAAACATCAGATAACATTTGCTTTCCCAAACCTTGAGTGACTGAGTATGGTTTTACACAGCTTTTAGAAATATTCAAGCAATATCATGGCGGGGGACACCAGAAATGAGCTTCACACATTGTACCCATGTTGGGATCGAACCCGGGACTCGGGTCTTCGGCGTGACAAGCAAACGCTTTAACCACCAGACAACCCGACCGCACCCCCTCCCCCGAATCTTCACAATAGAGATGTTCCTGTACACATATGGTGATCAAGGATCAATGAATATTTTTTTCAATACGTTCTTCGTGTAAGATAGTGGTACCCAGAGTGGAAACAACATTTTTGACAGATAGAACTTGGATCCTTTCTGATATTTCAAACATAAAGGCAAATCCTTTGTGCTTTTGATAACCCATGTTGGAAAATTCCAGTTGGCTCTGCAATATATGTCTCATCAAAAGCAGAATATGTCTTCAGGTTTTTGTGTCAAATCAAAATGTTGCTATTTCTGAGCCGTGTCTTTGAGTTCATACCCAGTTGACATACTGGTTTTGGTTTGGTTTATTGTTTTAGCAGCAATATTCCAGCTACATGACGGCGGTCTGTAAATAATCGAGTCTGACCCAGACAATCCAGAGATTTACATCATGAACATCGATCCACGCAATTGGGATCGATGATATGCATCAACCTGGTCCTGTATGTGGCCATAAGGGTCTATTTTAATATATATGCCTCTACCCCATGATACAAAGTACATAATATCTTAACATCATGAGCAGTGAATATGTTTCCTTCTTTTATTTTGTATAAATGATTATATAATGTGCATGCTTATGTGTGAAGTCTTACAAAAATGACACCTTAATCGTTGATCCAGTATTTATACATACACTAATTAACATGTTTGTGATTTTTGTACAGATACTTACGTGTATCTGAAACTAGTACTGGAACCAAAGGAAGAATGCAAGCTGCTCCTGTTACCAACAGAGACATAGACAGCAGCAACTTGCGGCCAATGCGATCCATTAGGAAAAAACAAGAAATGTATGCAACAGCCTCTGCGATGACGAACAAGAGAAAGTTGAGGTAGATGTTACCAGAGAGGTTGGTGACGTTCATGCTGAGGCCGTAGAAACTCATTCCTACTGCAAACCTGGAAAAACAATGACAGTTATATCTTTTTTCTCTGTCGTGACCTTCGACGGAAGGAATGTATAGTATATTTCAAATCTATCTCACTTACTCGTACAAACTGAATAAAACAGTTGTTTTGACTTTATGTTTATGTTGACTCCAATGTAAACTTTACTTCCCCGCAGGAATTTCTTCCTCTTGTTTGCTTGTTTGCTGTTTAACGCCTCAATCAGCAATATTTAAGCTATATGACGGCGGTCTGTAAATAATCGAGTTTGGACCAGATAATCGTGATGACCCTCGATCTACACAATTGTGTCAGGATTTTACGACTATTAACAATATGTTCCCAAACTAAGAGCAGGTAGCCTTCATGAAACATATTATATACAGTAGTTCTGATAAGATTCTACTGGCTGAATTACTAGTTTGTTCCTATTGTTTTTAAATTTGGTGAGAATGTATTATGTTAGGAATAAACTCGTACCAATTATAACAGATGATGATCATTCGACGCACCATCACAGAAGACTTCAAAAGATTCCAGAATGGTTCTTGTTTTACCTCTTCCATTTCGATATCGACCTCACCAAGTATTTGTGGATCTATTTGAACTTTGTTTTTCTTCGCAATATTTGCAACTATTCTTTTAGCTTCTTCTCCTTTGCCATGTTTCAGAAGCCATCTTGGAGACTCTGGGATAAAACTGTGATGAAAACAAATATTATTAACCCGGTTATCATAACTAAATGGACAGAGCTTTCCTGTAAACATCAATAAGTTAATATAGACCATATCACATGTTCATGATGTCAGGAATTACTTGTTCTTTGGATATAAAAAAATATGAATGTAACTTAAGAATACTGTATTGGAAATGGTTCTTTGCTTGAACAATCATATGTTGGTAAGTCACTGACGCTTTCAACTGAGATGCGAAAATTTAGTAACCTTCACTGTTTTTTTAAACATGACAAGTTATTATTATTCCGATATAAGTCATGTACAATTTAACTACAAAAGATAAATATTCTCTTTTTTCCATCGTATTATTACTTCGATGAGGCGATACTAAAAATAACAATACTACTGTACATGTTTCACTGCAACCTTCTATACATAGTTTGCACATGTTCATGTTTGTGATACGTATGAAGTACATCAGAGTCCAATACTTACTATACATAAGCAAAAACAACCGTCGGGATACTGACAATCAGCTGTCGAGTCTTCCAGTCCCTGAAGAGATGGGCCGTTAGTGCTGTCACAAGGTTCCCCAAACTCCAGAAGAGGTTCATGGCAACCCCTGCCCACATACGCTTAGAGGGACCGACTATCTCCATGCCTGTTCCAACATACATATAGTACTTCACTCGCAGGACTGTGTAGATTACAATTATACCCATTTAGAGTACCACATTGTAGTCGTTGTTGTTTAATGCCAAACTCAACAAGGTCCAGCTAAATGACAGCGGCCTTGAAATAATCGAATCTGTACCAGACAATCTAGTGGTTAATACTATTGCAAAGATCCACACAGTCGTGACACGATGACACGCAATCATTAAGTCACTGCACTGATCAGCCCGATCCGTTTAGTCGCATATTGTGACAAACATGGGTTATTGGAGGCCAAATATAGTTACACCATCTGACTTCTGGAATAATATCATCCGACTTCAAAGTTTTGTGACAAGTATCTGTATATATAAGTACTCATGTACTAACCTTTGGAGAATGTAACATACGCAGCTATTAGTTACACATGTCCCATACCCTCGATTGTGTAGTGTATTATGTACCCAGTGTGATGTACCCAGTGTGATACAACTATCATAAAACCAATCGCCACTTCATGACACGGCGACTAACCACACCGTTAGGTATCAGGAGGAAGAGAGTGTTGCCCATTTTTGTGGGAATGGTCTGCAATAGTACTGTCTGTAGGTTATCCCGATGACTATGACCTTTAACATGGGAAGGGCAGTAAATCTTAAGTTGGTTGGTTGGTTGGTTGGTTTGTTGTTTAACGCCGCACTCAGCAATATTCCAGCTATATGACGGCGGTCTGTAAATAATCGAGTCTGGACCAGACAATCCAGTGATTAGTATCATGAGCATCGATCCACGCAATTGGGATCAATGACATGCATCAACCAAGTCAGCGAGCCTGACCACCCGATCCCGTTAGTCGCCTTTTACGACAAGCATAGTCGCCTTTTACGGCAAGCATGTGTTGCTGAAGACCTATTCTACCCCGGAATCTTCACGGGTCAAATCTTAAGTAATGCGTGATTTTCCCAGTACGCCGTATACAGCTGACAGCCACTGAGATGTTAACGAATTGTTAAAACAGAAACAGACTAAACACAGGTGGCATTTAGTGGATCTGAGAAGCTGTTGTTCCAGAAAATAGTGGGGGCACGGGTAGCACAGTTGTCTAAGGCGCCTCGATTCGCTGAGCAGAGTTGCGTCCCTTGTGCACGCCAGAAACCTATGATTGTGGGTTCGAATCCCGGTTCGCCCAGATTATGTTTCTAGGATTGTCAGCACCATACCCGTGCTCGTGGGTTTCACCAAAGTGGTAACGTCTGAGACCTGCATCACTTCGGGCTTTCCTCCAACATTAAGCTGACACGCCGCGATATAACTGGAATACTGTTAAAGACGGCGTTCAACCCAACTCACTCACTCAAGGAACTGGGATGTGGCAAAACTTGACCTACATCACTGCTACTGCCAATGGATTTGTTTACAACACCCGTTACTTTGTCTAGTTACACAAAGCAAGCGCTAAGATGACAACCCCGATCTAGTATGTGGTTCAACATTAACCTGTAGATTTACTGGGAATGAGACTGATGGTGCAACGTCATTGACAAATGGAGTGAGTGAGTTTATGCTTTACGTCACATCGGCAATATTTCAGCCATATCGTGACGAGAAGTAATACCTTATTTATACATATATCTAAACTAAATAAAAACCTGTCATCGATTGACAGTACAATTACCAGAATATCACAGATTAATATTTAAAACTATCATACAACCATAAAAATATCACTAAACAGTCGTGAAAAAGCACAGCACATCTGATTGACAAATGGAACTGCGTGGCGTACGGCTATTTTGGAGGGATTGGATTTGACCTGTCAATTTCAAAATTTCACAGAATTCGTCGTCAGTGTGTCACAGTAATGTGGCAGTTGTGGCCCGGAAACCGTGAGTGGTTCGTGTGTGATTTGCTCAGCTGTGCGTGTTCTGAAATGAATGTCATCAAGTGTGATAAGTTGTTGTGACAAGTCAGTATACTGGGACTTCAGTCATGTCGGAACATTGTTTTTGTTGCCTTACGAAGGGAGGAGTGTTTTCTCATGGACTTTCAATCCCAATCAAAGATTTTACGCGTTCTATTTCGGGTTCTGCCGAATGGTTATTCTTCATTAACAATGGTAAACTCGTCAACCCACGTTTCCAGAAATGTGATCAACTGTTTCTTCAATTTTGTTGGGACACAAGTACGCAAATATATTATACGGATTTGACGCTATTGGTGATTAATCTAGGCAGCATATGACCGAACCAGATTCGTTGGGCATGAATAGCAAAGACCTTTTCCAACGGCATAACCAATACCCGGTGCAGATTATAGTAAGTCTGTTAGGCATTGATAAGCACAGTCTTCTATTAATGTCTATGGAATGGCCCTCCATTGCACCTGCAGAGCTTGAGTTAACTCAGGTACATTCTGTGGTGGTTGCAACTGACGTCGAACCCTACGGCCAAGCTCGTCCGACAAATGTTCAATTGGATTCAAATCCGGCGATCGAGAGGGCCAATGTCATACCTGCACATTGTTTTGTTGCAAGAGATTCCGGGTCACGCGAGCTGTATGAGGTCGGGCATTATCATGTTTGAACACCAGTTGGTTAACGCCACGTCGACATCCTCTTGGCAACGATAAGAGCGCTGGTTGCAACACTGTGGCAATGTAACGCTGGGCGTTGCGAAAGTTGGCATTAATTGCACCCCACACCATGACACCTCCACCTCCAAAACGATCATATTCAATAACGCAGTTTCAAGCAAAACGTTTATGGTTCCGTCTGTATACACGTATGCGGCCATCTTGGAAACTGACGTTGAAGTGTGATTCATCTGAAAAGATGACATTTCTCCATTGCCTGGGAGGAAGATGACCACCTGCAGCTGCCCAACGTTGACGTGCAAGACGGTGTGCGTGAGTCCAAATCTGTCCACGATAGGGTCGACTGCACCGTATGTTTCCTGCAGCAAGGCGACGTCGGACTGTGCGATCACTGATTGGTCGTCCCCTTGTTCCCATCATTCCAATGGCAGTCTGTCGTGCTGTTCTGAAGCGACCACTAAGGTGACTCACAATGATGAGATGGTCCTGCCTCCGTGACGTCACAGGCAGCGTTCCTTGTCGAGGACGGTCGGCAACACTCCCAGTTGTCCTGTGACGATGCTGCAGTCGGACAACAGTTGATCGATGGCCATTGAAGTGCGCAACAACGTCTCTCGCCGTCTGACCAGCTCCCAACATCCCTATTGCTCAGTTCCTCTGTGCGTTGCTTCACCGTGGCATCGTGAATATGCATGGTACCCTGCCCGCACTGTGTTTTTTTTATAGGGCCCAAGTCCCGCTTTGCACGTGCATCATGACTTTTTTCTGATCTTCCTGATTTCCCACATTTCACCTTCATGGTTGCGTTTTAGTCGTCAAGCCACTGCGTTCATGGCAGTTGGGATTCAAACTCAAACATTTGATGTTCGACATTGTTCTGTATACCCCTTTATTTCATGTCATTTGTTAGACACACAGACACAGAAAACGCCGACTTTTAGCATGATAATGGGTGTGCGTTTTAAATGCCTCTCAGTAGATTATAATTGACAGAGAATTGTAACATAACATTTCCTGCAGTTTCCTCCTTGAACAATAAGCCTTTTATGCCCAATGAGAAACATATATTTAAGGATCACTGAAAAATCAGTGATGACAAGCGGTATTCGCGAAAAGGGGAAGCATGTCCGGGTTTCATTCCCAAGATGGATACAATGTGTAAAGCCAATTTCTGGTGTCTTACGCCGTGATATTGCTGGAATATTGCTAAGAGCACTCACTCACTTACAGGTAGTCTTTTGCATATGCACATTCAGGGATTCCCGTTTGAAGCCATGATAAAATCATCAATCTTTATCTCTATTACAAGACAGTGACGTTCTTAGTTTACGACAATGGTCCTAATTCACTGAATGTACGAATCTCATCAAGTCTAGGAAATTGGCTAAAAGATGTTTTCCGGGGTGTACAAAACATTCAACACTGTTCAACTTAGGATGTTGTTGATATGACTGCACAATACGGAGGAACAGGTCGACTTTACAATGCAAGGATTCTCTGGTATTTGAAAAAGGTTAAAGCCAAATATTAAATACGTCCTATTCTTCGAGCAAATTCAACAAAGATTAATTCTTAGGACCATGTTTAAAATATTTCAGATTTCAGTTGTCTTCATGTGATAGATGCAGGTGTCAATTTGATACCTATTGTTTCTTTTCAATGTTGAGCAAAATCTAAAACAAATCATGGTCAGGGTTGGGAGGCTGTGTCATGACATTGCCTAATGAGATATTTGCGTCTTGTAAAGCGAAACCTTGCAACCCAATGACACACTCAGGCTGTGAAAGTGACTTAAAACTGGCGACGTCCTACGACCGTTTGGTTAAGTCCACAAATACGTATGTACCACAGCCGTGTCAAAGCCAACACCTCCTCCTGTGCCCCCGCATCAACCGAACGAAAGGAAAGCATCACCGGCAGTGAGGACGCCATTAGACCACTACACTTATGCCCCTCTCATTGTTTGTGATACATGTACTTTATGATTTGAATTCGCAAAAAACATGTTGATAGAGGATAAGGAAATGTGTTCATTGACATACCAAATACGAAGCACACGAGATATTGGCCTATGGCACAGATGTGGATGGCGAAATCAAGGAAGAGGACCATGGCGGCTGAGTTGGACCACACCAAACAGATGCTGAGCAGCACCAGGAAGAACATGTTGCAGATTATAGCTGGCCTTCTTCCAAACCTGCAGAAAACAAAACTTAAAGATAATCTCCATAATATCGCACAGAAGTAATAAATGAAAGTGTGTTTTTTTCCACCAGGCATATCTTAGCTTTACATGAGATTCAGACACTTCAAGACATCAACAGAGGACAATAGTGGCACATGAACAGTACCGTGTACAGTCAGTGAATTAATGATTCTTATATATTTATTTCCCAGTCATGTCTAAGAGTTATGATAGATACAATCATTTAGATCACAACAGGTTATATATACGTTTACACAGAGAGTGAGTTAATGCTTTACGTCACATCGGCAATATTTCCGCCATATCAGGACGAGAAATTATACATTTCTAATACATATATTTAAACTAAATATAACCTGTCATCGATGGACAGTAAAATTACTAGAAAATCACAGATTAATATGTAAAACTAGCATACAACCATAAAAAGATATCACTAATGGAAACAGTACAATATAAAAAAGGGCTACAGATCGCCAGCAGCTGAAGGTAGATCACCATTCTAGGGTCCATGGGGACTTACAGTACTTTTGCTACCTGCATGGACCCCAGCCGGATTTACATCATCCCTTCCGCTGTTGGCGATTATTTACACAGAGAAGTGACAGGTACAAAAGTGATAAGTGATTCCACGAGGACACTACGCATAGTGGGGGCCAGGTATCAAGAGTTTAACCCTGACAGCACATGGCAACCGCTTCAGGAAGTGTAACCGCTGTCGGGCGTTTCTGCCGAGACGGGTGTTGACAAGCTAGTTAGTGTCCGCATAGCTTCCACTCAGCATGTAGTCAGCATCAGTTGCAAACAAATTTAATATAAGCACCAAGTCATCAATCATGTTTCATTTTATTGCATTGTCTTTCATCAGTCACAAATATGTCAGTAATCAACGTATGGCACACGGGTTTAGGGTCTGACACATAAAATGGTATATTTGTATTAACGGCTTTGTTCATGCCATCTATACCTCAACAAAACATAGCAGTCAGTGACCCCTGAGCACTAGGTTTAGGCTTGGCTCGGCTGTGTGCTTGTCATCTTACCCTGGTGGCACGAATCGTTGCTGACAATATCAATCACTGTTTTGTGAGGTCCAGACTTGCTGAATACGGCGTTAAAAAGTCAAACAGATATATATTAGCGAGTATCACTGTGGATTAACCCTTGTGTCTTTGACACAGAGGTAAACAGTCAAAAGGTATTACGATGGTTTTGACGATCCTCTTTGTATAAGCATGTCAGTTCATGTTAACTTTTCAATTTGCATTGATTGCCGGCTTCATCTCAACAAAGTTGGCGACAACAGGAAGTTATTGATTTTGAGTGTGTAGGGATAATCATCTGGAAAACTTAGCGCGAAATCAAATTATTATTCCATTTAATAAATACTTCATTTAATGTATTTTGAATTTATTTCAACACTTGCTAAGTATCGACAGTGAAGTTTGACTGTGGTCGCCATAACAACTCTCTTTGAGGATCATGTGCCACCCTACAGACGTGTGTGGTAGTCTAATGTTTCTACATATATAAAACGCCAGAGAATAACCAGCATCGATTATCCGATGAAACAGATGCCATTTGGTGTAAACAGCATAATAGAGGTGACAATTTATAGGAATGGGTCAGTGAAAATCAGAGATGACAACAGGTTTTCGCCAATAATGTATGTCGTGTCCTACCAGAAGCACAGAAACGTCGAAAATGATTCAACACAACATTGCTTCAATGGTTAATTTTACAGCACCAGTATGTGCTTTCTTATTGTCATCTATTACATAATGATATAATTCTTATATTTACTCTTAAATGTATTAAAATAGTTTAAGTATTGTCCAAGCAAGGGGTACCATTAAACACAAAGCGTGCACACAATAATTATTACCTTTCAAAGTCGCGTGTAACCCCAATCATGTAATTAGCACATCTACAGTATAAAATCCAAACAGTTTTCTTTCAGTTCTTAATCATGCATTTTGGGATATAACAAAGGCAAAATACGGGGTTACATCGTTTTATCTAACGGAAAAGCAGGATGTTCCGAAAACAGTCAAAATGCAGCCATCGTATCAAACAACATTCACTCTCTCGCTAACGTCGAAGATCCCCCCATCCTAGGAACTCACATGTCTGCCAGTGGTCCGTTGATGAGGCCTCCAACCAAATGCCCTAACATACCCAGCATTCTGGCATGACTCACGAAGGACTTTTTCCCGCAGACAAAACCCATCTGGAAAGAAGTCAGTGCATACATAATCCATTGCACCTAAACAAAGTAATGAACCAGGTTATCTGCAAGAATTCAAATACGAAAGTGATGGTGTGCTTTCGATCTTTCGACGTTCCAGTGATTAAGATGGAAAGCTAAATTTTCAAGAAGCAGTCGGGCCTACTGGCCCATTTTGTACCTCAATTCGCTATTTTTATTATTTTTTCTTCACTGTCTAGTTTCAACCACTACACAAACCAATCATGACTAGCCGTCATATCTTGACCAGTAGATCGTTCCTACCTACAACATGAATGTGTTCATACATAATTGCAAGTAATGCTATGGTATTTCATTGGCCAACCAAGCAATGTTTTGGCATTTATAATACCATACACCGAAAAATAATTAGACCTCGTCCATCAACGGACTTCTGCTTCCTGATAAAGATAGAATGGATGTAGTCTTTATTGCCTTATTGCGATTGACCATGTCCCCGGTTTCTTGTTATTGTCTTCGGTGTATTTGTGCAAATGTCAAAATAAGCAGTATGTGCAGTTATAATTTCTACATATATATTTGTAAGAGTTTACTTCAATATGTTAATTCGTATATTTAAAAGGTGAGGTGAAATTGGGTTTAACGTCGCGTCCAAGATTATTGCACTTATATAGCGACGTGCATGCACGTGTATGTGTGTGTGTGGCTGCTTGTACTAGTCCGGACTGATGCCGATTTATAGTGCTAGCTAACTGAGATACCATGCCGCAGTTTAACATGAATACCCCACTCAGACACAGTATACTGACTCCGAGCCGACCAGTCCTTGTTTTAGCCCCTTAATGTCGAGCGCCAGACAGGGTAACAACAAGTACAATCTTTTAACGTCTTTTTGTATGACGCGGCCCGGGATCGAACCCTGGACCTTCCGCTCTCCGGGCGGACGCTCTACCACAAGACCACGGACGCGGTCTCGTATATTTAATGTAAAAACCAGTATGCAAATGACATACTTGTGGAATTGCATGGTGGGCAGACCAGACCTTCTTTTACGTTTATTTCCAACATTATTTTGTGGAGACAATGTAGACGGTAAAGACGTTTATACCTTGTACTTGTTACGCTGCCTGCAGCAGATGCTCAGTGTTAAGGGGAAAAAAAACCGGGGGACTGGCCGGCTTGGAGTCAGTACAGTGTGACTGAGTGGGTTATCAACGTTAAACTGCGACATGGTATCTCAGTGGGCTAGCACTATTAAAAATCGAAAGTCCTGTGTAGTTCAAGCAGCCTTACACAAAGTGTCGCAATATGAGTTATAATGTAAACAATGTAAACACCCATTTCATCTCACCTACTTCACTTTATGGCGGATACAAAAATTATATACTTGTCTGATTTCTTTTGGAGAATAGGTTGTGTAACGGTTCAGGGGGTGGGTATTGGGGTACAGCTCTGGTAGCGAATTGTGGATCACTCCCAATACCACCAACCACACAGTTTTAATTATTTAATTTTTTAAGAATAATTTCACAATTAAGAATTGCACAATAAGATTTATTAATTTACAAGAATATAATTATTCTTTTCAGTATTTCATTCAGTTAGGAAGATGTACAATAAATATAAAATACTTGAATGTCAACTCACATATCTCGGCTCGAACCGGCTTTCACTCTCGTATCAGAAAAAGTACAACCGATCAAACTGTCAACAAAGTGACGTCATACCGGAAGTAGTCTCTCGCACGAGGATACGGTCGGTGGAACGTGGGGAAATTGCACTCCACCAGTGACAGAAGTTATTTTACTTCGAGTCACGGCTGTGTAGTAATATACAATGCATTTAGATGGACTAGATGCACTTTTGTAGCCATACAAGGCTGATTTAAGCCATTATGCTACAAGAAGTAGTTTCGTGGAACAGACTCACGAATATAGGTGACGTCACACGAACTATCACGTTGCCAAATCGAAACAGGTGATTTAGAACGTGTTCCCATTTTGTTTTTGCACATTTAACAAACAGTCAGTAAGATCAGTGGTGATATACGTTAATTCATGTAGCAATAACGTATATCTTTACGGTATGCTGTATCACATACAACATATACAATATGATTCATCTCACTGTCTACTGACCGAAATGTACAAAAGGCTTGTACATTACAGGTTGTTTCAATTGTTTTCGGACAAAACATGTAAATAATGTGGTACTGGTATTTAATAATGATTGCAACAACCTGAATGATAATAACTCACCGTCTCTGAAACCGTGGATATGAACTGTGATTGGTCGTAAACCCAGGCATTACATGGCTCTGTGATATTTCTTGTTGACCAAACATTGGAGGCATTGGTCTGTCGATACAGTTGGCACTGGGAATATTTTTCGTTACCATAGTAACCATATATCCTGGGAATGGAGCGGTTTACGAGTTGTTCGTGAAGGTCATTCTGGATTTTGTAGGTGTCATTGGCAAATCCTGGAATAGCGCACCTGACAAGAGAAACAAGTATAAGTTTATTTAAATGTGAGAGAACAGGGGTTGTAAAGAATTTATCGATGTTTATTTACAATGCTTTTGCCCATGGAAATGAAATTGTTAATTAAATAATATCTATGCCAGAATAAAATGAGCATATTTATGGTTGTCATGATGTATATATGTGGGAGATAATTTATTTCAATTTGATGTTCTATTGTAATGATTAATTATGTTGAAATGTATTATGTACTAAAGGCCTGTGGCCTCTTGAGTACGAAATAAAGATTGATTGAACAAGTCAGTGTTATGTTGTCGTCATCGTGTTACCTTATTTTACAGTTTTATTACAGAGACATGTCAGTAATCAAATAGGGAGCATGCACATCAATAGTTGACAGCGGAACTGACGAAACATAACTCACGGTACCAGAATAACACATACGAAACCAGGCCGCACTTATAAATAGTTCTATCGGGATATTGAGTTCTGCGTTGGCACATATGTGTAAACAAGTTATCATTGTGTAACAAACTGAATGAGTGAGATAAATGTTTAATGGATCGGCATTATATCAGTATATAGGGTGTCATAAGTTCACAGACCCGTGAAGATTCGGGGTAGATTAGGTCTTCGGCAACACATTCTTGGCGTAAAAGGCGACTATGCTTGTCGTAAGAGGCGACTAACGGGATCGGGTGGTCAGGCTCGCTGACTTGGTTGATGCATGTCATCGATCCCAATTGCGTGGATCGATGCTCATGATATCATTCACTAGATTGTCTGATCCCGACTCCATTATGTACAAACCGCCGTCATATAGCTGGAATATTGCTGAATGCGGCGTTATTCAACAAACAAACAAACAACATTAGTTCACAGTAATAATTAAAAAAATAATTTGTCACCCCATATACAAATGTTAATTAAAAAAAATATTTGTTACAGAGGCTTGTATGAGAAATGACAATAGCTGTTGAAATGACAGCCTTCATTGCAGCAAAATGTTCATACTTTCCAAACATTCACTTCGTTTGCGCCATAATAGTGCCACTACGCGTAACAAATATGATCAATATGATGCAGAAACATATTGATTCACACGCATTGCTGATTGTTTCATTGAATCGCCGGAGTAAGTATCCATTTAAAAATACAAAGGTTAAAAGAATAATGTTTATTATAGTGTCACATGTTGTATACAATTCATACTAAAAAAACGTACACATACAATAAAATATAACATCCGACCAGGTATGGCCTACGAAATACCTGATCAGTTTCAGATAAATTAGGACATGTATATACTGAACTGTGCAGGAAAAGAATTATGGCATGTACAACCATGTCTTTATATCTGCCAAATGTTAGGAACGAATGTAAAATGATTCATTTCCATGTATTCTAAACGGTGCTGAAACATAACAGAAAGAATGAATTTTATGTCATCAGTTTTATATAGGTTTGAAATTAACGGAAACAATAGAGGAATAATTCCCATGTGATTTGAAAGTGATGCACATGATACATTTACACATATTCGGAACGTGATGAAATGGTGTTGGGAATGTTTATCCGCCGTGCAAGATATCTCTAGAAATAATTTTTTTAGTATTATCGATAGTGATAACCTGATATCAAACCCCAGTCCCGAGATAATCGCTCACTACGCAAGTACTACGCCTTGACGTAGGGAGGGCGTAATCGTGGTGATTGAGGGGAGGGGAAATAACCTAAAGGCTTTTAGTGAACAGCCTATTAATTACACAAAAACACAGTGTCTAAACCAAGCTGGGGAACGTCTATTTGTATCTATGTATCTATCTCGGTGTCTTTCAGAATGCATTACAGGAAATGTGGACTCGAAAACATTAATGAAATTATCCATAGAGAGTCATTGTATAACTTTTAACTGCCAGAGTATTTGTGGTTCTACTGTCTTCTACGTGGCACTACCTTAACCACTACTTGGTGTTACGAGTCGATTTCCAAATTGAAACAATATGTCAGCCCAGAAAGAATTTGGTGTGAAACCAAAAAACTGTATATTAATCAATACAAATTACTGCATATCAATTACAATGACAGTACACAATAGAGGGGTTGTACAATATCCAGTACAGTGGTATAAAATGTGAGGGTAGTAGAAATGACAATGACAAGAATAATAACCACGTCGCCGCAACAGTGGTCAAGCTTCCGAGAAAGCTGAACACCAGGGTGAAAAGTGATATTCACATGGGGATAACTGCCGCAGCTATTCCACTGTTAAACATTGGACAGCTACGTTTAAGGCTGAGCGAACAAGCCTTGATGATGACCCTAGGTCTGGACGTCCCAACTTCCATCAAAGACGATTCAATCAAGGAGATAGAAAAAACTTATACTGTCAGATACGTATAACGATTGCTGAACTTGTGGAAGACACAGGTCAAAGTCATGGATCCATTGAACCTATTATTCATGAACATTTACAAATGAATAAGATAGCTTCTCGTTGTGCGCCAACGTTTACTGACATTGCCAGAAAATATTTTGATCTAATTGAGGAAGAATTCGTCAAATTCAAAAAGAGATTATTAACGGGTGATGAAACGCGGGACTACCACTATGATCCCGAGTCTAAACGTCAATCCATGGAATGGCACCATTTCACTTCTCTGGCACCTAAGGAATTCGAGGTCTTCATGACCAGTGAAAACAGTTGTGACCACTTTATTCTTGGATGCACCCTTGTTGATTACTTAGAAAGTCAAAAGACGATTACCGGTGCTTCCTTTGCTGATTTGCTTCATCGCCTGAGAGATTCTATCACAGAAAAGCGGCGAGGAATGCTGACTACTAGAGTTCTACTACTTCATGACAATGCCTCTTCTCACACCTCTCCACTTGCAAAGGCTGCTGTGCGACAATGTGGTTTCGAAGAGCTACATCACCCTCCATACACGCCAGACCTGACACCAAGTGATTTCCACCTGTTTCATAAACTGAAAGAACACCTTAATTGAAAGAGCTATGACGACAATGATGACCTCAGACCTGCCATGAATGGGTTTTTCAGGGTGGCTTCAGAAAACGTCTCCCTGTCTGGAATTGAAAAGCTTCACTGTCGATATGAGAAGTGTACTGAAAAGCATGGAGATTCTAGTGAAAAAATATAATTTCACATTTCACGTTAGTTGGTTTTGTTTGTTAGGCTTTCATTTCTTTGACCAGCCCTCGTATTATTGATTTCGATTGTGGTCTGTTGTTTGCTTGAAGTTGCGTTGATGGCACAGTTTCATCTGCATTTGCAGTAGGCTTTTCGTATTCCGAACGTTAGGAAATTGGCTTTTTCGTGCCGTGTATGGATGTTTTGCTCTGATCCCTACTCATTGTTGCATTTGGAATAGTAATAGTATTCCCGGGCGTACATGTTGCAAGAGTTCATATATCAGAAAGTGATGTCAGAAAATGATAATGTTTATCTATTACTCATTACTATAACACAAAAGATAATAACTGCGATATGCCGACCTGTAATATGTTTTTCATATTTTGCAGTCTTTGCATTGTTGAACACAAATATGTAAGAAAAGAATAGATGTCAATAATATTCTTCCGTGTTATAGTTAACAGAACGTTATATCTTGGTTTTGTAATAAGTCTATGGTGTAAACTATAACAACCGATGTATATGCTACAACGTAATACACTATTCAACTAATACATGTCTTATATCTTTACCGATTTGGTGAAACCCTAAGAAAATAACCATTTTCAATGCGAATTTGAACACATAATCATAGAATCCCGGCATTGCGTAGGGCCACAGATATGCACAGCGATTTACTACGCCTTAGATCACTACATGTACCCTGGTTATATACTGTGCACACACAATGTTCAGCTGTTGTTATATATCATTTCAGAAGAATTTTGTAACTTTTTAACACCGATACTGTGAAGCCATAAACGACGTTTTCTAAGTTTTTGTTTTGTTTGTTTGTTGTTTTACGCCACACTCAGCAATATTCCAGCTATATGGCGGTGGTTTGTAAATAATCGAGTCTGGACAAGACAATCTAGTGATTGATATCATGAGCATCGAACCACGCAATTTGGATACGATGACATGCATCAACCAAGTCAGTGAGCCTGACCACCCGATCCCGTTAGTCGCCTTTTACGACAAGCATAGTCGCCTTTAACGGCAAGCATGGGTTGCTGAAGACCTATTCTAAAACTTCACGGGTCTGTCATTTAATAAACACATATTTGTTTTAACGTGGTGGTATAAGCAGCATCGTGCTAAAATATGTATGTCCTTGTACCCTCTGATTATATCCATAGATGCACTTATATAACGACGGCCAATTTATACGAAACAAGATAATATGCGTATTTCCGTAAATAAACCTTTTCTCTCACTGACAAATATGTAGATGTTGACAAGATAGAAACATTCATAAGGATGCCACAAGATCACGATGTTTCACTGAATATACATACCTATGTTCAGGAACTGCAAACAGAAACACAACTGCCTGTATAACCTGGAGAGACTGTGGTATTGCTGGTAGACAGAGAAAAAGGTACAGCCATTTCTGGTACGGGCCAAACTCCCCCAGTTGCCTCAACACGTCGTCGAACTTCATCGTTCTGGAAGACTACAAACCAAACTTTCAAGAATTGAAGGAAATGATAAAGCAGTGAGTCAACACACACGTCCACACGTGATGACGAACAATAAAAAATGTAGATCCTAAATGCATTATTTAATTGGATATGACGATCAATTACCAAGGGAAAACAATACCTACGCTACACGTTCCATTTATACAGGTCCACTAACCTGGTGTCACGATAATATTACCATATATAAGAGGTGCATATAATTATGTGTGTCAAAGTTCATCGTTCTGGAAAAAACACCAACCGCTAGAAACACAACTGCCTGTATAACCTGGAGAGACGCCGGTATTGCTGCTAGGCACAGAAGTACATACAACCATTTCTGGTATGGGCCAAACTCCCCCAGTTGCCTCAACACGTCGTCGAGTTCATCGTTTTGGAAAACCAATAACCGCTAGTTGAGAAACTAACAGGGAACTGAAGGAAACAATAGCATGAAAGCATGTTGTAATTTTATATGTGATCAGTTAACACTTCGTGTGAAAACAACGCACAAATATGTGCATCATGTCGTCAGTTTAACAGAACACGTTGTGCAGCAATTAACAACAGACAGAATGTTGTCCACGTTTTCAATCAAGCATATGTAATGTGCATTTATACAGGACCATTTACCTGATACCACGATCGTTTTGCTACTGGTGTATATATGTTTTAACGTGTGGTACAATGTCGACAGGTGTAATATTGTGAACGTGGATTACATTGTCGACATGGGTTTTACTGTCAACGTGGATACACTGTCGACATAGCTTTTACTGTCAACGTAGATACACTGTCGACATGGGTTTTACTGTCACCGTGGATACACTGTCGACATGGCTTTTACTGTCAACGTGGGTAGACTGTCGACATGGCTTTTACTGTCAACGTGGATACACTGTCGACATAGGTTTTACTGTCAACGTGGGTACACTGTCGACATGGGTTTTACAGTCAACGTGGATACACTGTCGACATGGGTTTTACTGTCAACGTGGATACACTGTCGACATGGGTTTTACTGTGAACGTGGAAAGACTGTCGACATGGCTTTTACTGTCAACGTGGATACACTGTCGATATTGGTTTTACTGTCAACGTGGGTACACTGTCGACATGGGTTTTACTGTCAACGTGGATACACTGTCAACATGGGTTTTACTGTCGACGTGGGTCCCCTGTCGACATGGCTTTTGCTATCAACGCCGGTCCCCTATCAACATGTGTTTTACTGTCAACGTGGATACACTGTCGACAAGGGTTTTACTGTCAACGTGGGTTACACTGTCAACGTGGGTACACTATCGACATGGGTTTTACTAAAACGTGGAGGCACTGGCTTACAAACAACCCTTGATATTGTATATACATATGCTTCAAGGTGGCGCCTAACATATAATCCATCAAAAAGTGCAATAATTGCGTTCACCAAAGCAAGCCACAATGGGCATAACGTTTCTGTAAACTTGGTGATACACACATCACTACTGATGTTACGGTGTATGGTTGAATACTCTTAACGTATAATCTTTCTTGTAAAACAATAATTGAAAAATTCTGACAGAAAGCATGACAAAATATTAACTCCCTATATCCTTAGGATTAAATAATTATGATCTTCATCCAGTTTCAAGCGTGAAAATATGGCTCAGAATAATAGACAAAACCAGCCTTTATGGATGTGAATTACTCTCTGACATCAAGGGTCAACATGCCGATCTGTTGGATACCTACCGTTGTGCATCTGCTCACTTTCCTTCCAAAATTGAAATGGAGAAATCTTGTTTATGAAACTTTATGCAAATACGAAGAACAAATATGGCTCATAAATGTATTAAATAATCCAAGCACGTCCCGTTATAAAGAGAATTCATACGAAATTAACATACCATAAACTTTGGCAATTAGCTTTTCTGTATCTGGAATATCGACTTGTGCGAAGTCTCATCATGCAGTAAACGAGTGCAAGCTCTGTAATGAGCGTGCTCTCGACCATGATAACCACATTATTTTACATTGGGAAGTGCTTATATCAGACAGAAATGCGTTTTTCTCTTTTTATCGTTGACCTACTTGACGTTAAAAAATATGTTGATTTCGAAATGCAAGACGAAACAAATATGTTATCATTCTTATTTGGGGCTGAAACAGAATATACTCGATCAACACATCTGGAAACTATCATACTTCAATTCGCCTCGTATCTGTACAAACTAAAGAATCTTTATATATGTATCTGTTAGTGCATAGCTGTCTTCGTATAGATATTTGAATTCGATAAGCTGTTGGGAATTGTAAATGTGTTTTGCCTTTTTTATTGTCTTAGCCGCGTGTAATTGAATATATTTTCATTGTAATCTTCGGAATGACATATGGAGGATATACAGAATCTCTCTCTCATGATAAGGAAGCCAATAAAACAGGAAGCCAATTAAACAGGATCAAGAGTACATAGTCGTTGTGATTATTGCTGAATGAGTTCATAGCAGGCGGATAGAATGAAATACCCGTGCTCGTGGGTTTCACCGAAGTGGTAAACGTCTGAGACCTGCATCACTCCGGGCTTTCCTCCCACATTAAGCTGACACGTCGTGATATAACTGGAATAATGTTAAAAGCGGCGTTAAACCCAACTCACTCACTTACTCCTTTGAAAGCTCTACTGAGGGCATGGAGCCAGAGTCGAAGGATACTCGAAGGATGCTAGAAAGAGTTATGGTCGATATTGTACCTGAGAAGTTGTGAAATGTAGAAACCACAGGCTAGTGCTTGGAACATTGCTCGACATAAAGGGAAAGTTGAATATTGGAGAGTTGAATTCATCCCTCTTGGCATTTAGTTGAGTTTTTCGTCACTCTTTTTCACAATTTTTTCTCTCTGAATCTTTGTGCACAGATCTAAGTACCAAAACAGATAAGGCCGTTTTACTGGTTTCTTTTATGTTTTGGGGCACCGGTTGCCAAGTCGTCTAAGGCGCCGCGATTCGCTGTGCAGAGTTGCGTCCCTTAGGCACGCCATAAACCTATGATTGTGGGCCCGAATCCCGGTTCGCCCCGATTATGTTTCTAGGTTTGTCAGCACCATACCCGTGCTCGTGGGTTTCACCCCAACGTTAACCCCAACTCACCCACTCTTTCTCTTATTTCTAGTTGAGGTGGGATGGGAATTGGCTTTTTGACCGTATTTGAACGATATTGTATTATCGATATGGCTGAAGCTTATGACCAATTCTCCTGTTCTGATTGTGCCATTCCGAGCAGACATTCCTATCCACAAGCATATAGAAATAGATCAGCAAGTAGGGGAGTACAGGTGGTGGCCATGCGGTACATCTGTCCTAAACGTCTCATCTCAAACTTTCCCACAAACAAAGCTAACTTTCAAGTTAAATATTGAATCTAATTTGAGTTCCAAATACCATGGCCAGTGACAATAGTTTAAGAACAAATGTGTGAAGCTGCAGAAACGAGCTGTTGCATTAAAATAAGTCGATTTTTTAATTACGCCCCAGTTAATATTTTGATCTCGATTGCAGATCGAATTGTCTGATTAACCAAACAGATATCGGTGATGTTAATAACGTAATGGAAAGATATTTGATACATGACCATCTAACAAATTACAACAGTAGTTACAGGGTATTGACACTTATAATAATTGCATAATATGATAGACGTGCAATGCCATTTCCAAATATGACAAAACAAATGTTCGATGCAATTCCCTATTTTGACTTGTTTCCACATACTACATACTTCCGTGTATACGTATATTCGAGTGAACAGTTGAGTTGCATGTATTCTATTTTTTATATTCGGTCATTGGTGATATTTCTTCGGTATATTCAATAATCTTAGTTGGGAAAGGGTTTCACATCCAAACACATAGTGGAACTCATCTCCTAGGAAGGATGAGTTGCGTAACGTAAAGACTCTGTATTCTTCCGGTATATGTCATCGGCCGGTCGCAATGGGAAAATGGTGGCTACTTGTTCGGAATTTTAAAACTGGCAAACACTTGTACATGTAATGTAGGCCATTATGAATACAAAATAAATACGCAATGTGTAATATGTTTCATTGTGTGTAATCGGCTCCTAAAACAAGGGACGTGCATTGTTGTTCATACTATCAAACACTTGTGAGGATGGGTTTACCTCAGTAATTTAGTGGTTGCTGAAATATAGCCTAAATATTGATATCGTAGGTATTTTACGCCAGCACTCACTCACATTCCCAAACACCTAGACATAACTAGGCACCTATTTGAAGAACGAAATGAATTAATATCCTATTTAGCAAACATTTAGTATTAGCCAAAAATTTACGATGGCAAAACATTTCTCGGTCATTAATAGTAAGTAGTTTCTCTCACAGTTCCTGAACCATTTTATTTTCATTTCCGCCCAGCCCTTACCGTAATGGTATATCCCTAATGGAGCAAGTCTAGAGTGAGTGAGTGAGTTAAAATTTAACGTCGCATGCATCGGCATTATCTCAGCCATATAGCGACGAGACCAAGTTAATATATTTACAATTTAGTCATTAATGCAAAATTTTGTTTAAAAACAAGTTGTAAAACATATTCGAGCATACGATATTTAGAAACAATTCATGAAAATATTTGAGCATAACAATATTATATATACAGTTTTAAAACACGGGCTATAGGCCACCAGTAACCAAAGCTAGGCCACCTCGCTGGGGATCGAGCAAGTCTAGAACTTCCACAGGTTTAGGCTGACATTTCCATGTCACCGGGGTTCCTTTTCAATTTAAATGCATTTGTTTAGTTCTATCGAAATAATATAGTATCAGAAACACTAAGTGTTAATCTAACTGTGAAACACAACTATCCAAAAGATCTCATGCAGACTCCCTACTTGTTCCTTCCGATCATGTATAAAAAGCCTGTTGAACCTTTTTCATGCAAGAGTTTCAATTCAGAGAGTATATGTTAGTTTAGCGAAGCAGATCAATAT